TTAAGACTTAAATAAAAAAATTTGATATTTTGTCTATGAAAGCATTGTAATGTTTACTGATAAACTGCCAAATTTCATTAACAATCACTTACTAATTTAAAAATTATAGCATGAAAACTACAACAAGCACAAAATGGTTATGAGGTCTGTCCTAGAGACCGAGCCCGGGTTGAAAGAGTTAATGAGCTGTCAGAAGCCATAGTAGAAATAAGCCCTGAATATGAACAGCTTCACTCGCACAGGACAAAAGTATAAGTGTACAAGTCACCATCATTTGAGAATTTATGATAAAAATTAAAGCTTTTGAGACCAAAGCCACAGAAAACAAATGATGTATATCTCAATAAATTGAACTCAGATGATAAATTTAAACATGTCTGTTCAATACAGTGGTGAGAAGAAGAATGAAGTCACCAAGAGTGCAAAGTGCATAAGGAGATTTATTGCACATGGAGGTTGTGTCACCCTCTTAGAAGTGGAGGGCTTTTGTCCTATAATGACATCATGCACCAGTGGAATTCCTGTTAAATCATGTGAAATCAGATGAGAGTTGCCTCATCAGACATCTCTCAGACATATATACAAGGAAGATGAGTTATTGTCTCGTAAGATGTTGAATGCATGTCACAGTGCTAGGTTAAAGTTTCAAAACTGAGTAAAATCTAATTTTCAGAAGTCACAACTTTTAAGGGTTTTCAGATTTGTGACAGTGAAGCTTAAGCAGATAAGTGTTTAGAATTTTTTGACAGTGGATATTTAACGTCAGTAAAAATATTCACTGGAGGTAGGTCTGTAAGTTTTGAATGTTTGACAGATTGAAACTAATCAAGTACTTATTACAAGATAATCACCAAATATTAAAACCTACCCCTACTAAAAGTCCAGTACGAATTTCAGGTCCTTTTGTGTCCAAAGCAATTGCTACAGAGTACGGCATTTCCATCTCATTGCTGACAATTTTGGCTGCTTCTCTAATATTTTGAATGGTTCCTAAATGGTACTATGAAATCAAATTTTCAGAAAAAAAGATAATTTCAATTTAAATCTTATACTTGGAAAAGAAACCCAGCATGCTTTATATTTACAAACAACTTAACTGGATATTTAGTTTTAAAATTTATAAATACAATTGGTATAATTATACTAATGTATCTTAACTAACATGAAAAATTAGATTTAGTAGAATTACTCCACATATAAATTTACAAAAACAAGAGCTTTTCCTAGGTGAAATCCACTGTTAGATTCACCAATTACCTGGCTCATTATCTAACAAAATGTTCTTGAAAAATGAAGACAAAAGAATCATATTCATAGATGTATAACAAAAATGATGATGTGGACAAAAACCAATTTATATTCTCTGAAACCTCTGCTACCACACAAACTATGTAATCCGGTTACCATGTGTAAGATAACTGTTAAGGCCTGCACTGGTCCCTAAGTGCATTTTAAGTATTTTTTGTTTTACACTACTGAATGTAAACAAATCCAGTTATGTCAATATATTAAGTTCATTTGGAAACTATTTTAACTGGAAAACACATAACAGAAATTGAACAAAGAAGAAAGTAGCTCACCTCATGGGTACCATGAGAAAAGTTCAAACGAGCAATGTTCATCCCTGCTTTCATCATTTCTACCAATGTTTGCACTTCCCGAGATGAAGGTCCTATGAAAATCAATCAAGAGCTGTATTGTAACTATGCCATACTGATGTTTGATGGCACCCTGTCTGACACATAAATTCAGCACACACACACACACACACCCCCAAACCAAACCATTTAAAACACTCGCACTACCCAAAAATAAATTGAGAATGATGATGTAGAATATATGTAACATACAAGCAAGTTAATACTATCTTTATAATGAACATTTTAAAGTAATTTTGCTCTTACTGCAATATTCATTGTGCTTTGATAAAAGTGCACATTTTTCCAATCCTATACTAACTTTCATATGTATACTATGAGTGTGTAATTTCATGTAAATGCCCATTGTTACTAAATCTTTTAAAACATTCATATTAAGAATCAATTAAAAATAATTCGAATACCAATATTTAAAAAAAAAAAATCTTTATTTAATAAACTTCTGTCAACTCTCCTATTTCACACTTTTAGTGAGAGTGGTATGTGTAATTGTTTTTAGTTCACAATATGTACCACAAAAAAAAATACATCATATACGTCTTTTATTTACTGCTCATACTGTAACATACAATTTATATCTAGTCAATTTCTAGACATATTGTAAAGAAAAAAACAATTCAATGTCAATCACTTAATAAATTAACTTATATTCTGTTTCATAGATAGATAAAGTAGGCTTGAGAACTTTAAGAAACTCCAACTGCCCGCTGAAAGAAAAAAGACTACGTTTTAGATTCTACACTGAAGATTCAGTACAGAAGCCCAAGCATTATCATCTCTTCTTTCAACAGGCAGTTGCATTCTGCACCATATTAACACAAACATGTTCAATCATAAATCACTCACCAATTGTACAAATTATACCACTCAAGCGAGTGAAAGTTGGATGAGAATCTATGTCCAGCGCACTAAGGTGATCAAACCTAGTATCTTCATTAGCTGCGTGCAGCTGATGTCCTAATGCCCTTGGACCCTTTGTTAGTGCCATCTGTAATAATATTTAAAAATAATAATAATGATAAAGGTTTTTAATAGGCCTGGTATATAAGGAACACCTTGCCAAAAGTTACTTAACATAATTATACCTTTGTTGCTATTCAATAACATCATGATTATTGTTGACAGATGCCATATTGCGATATATTTAGTCTTCTGTGAAATGTGCGGAACCAGGTCTCTTGTAATAAAATGCAAAAATTGTAATCGGTCCCTTTTCTTCAAGCTATCACAAATAATAAGCTAGTTAATGATTCATATTAAAGTTTGTTCTCTTCAGGACTGGAACAGTAAGCAGGGACAAATCTGGGGATAGTGGCGATTCCAAACTCTTCTTTCTGATAGGTTACCAAATAAAGGTACACTAGACCTAATAAAGAAAGCAAATTTCTTTCAAAAGGTTTCATGTCTTGGTAGGAATACAAAATCCTCGATTTGTTTCTGATTAGGATAAGAGTTCTCACTGGGACTTGAGCCCTGGTAGCTCATTAAAACACAAGTCTTAGAGGATGGGTGTGGGCCATAACCCCCTGAGATTCAAATCTTGGTAAGGATAGTTTGCTAAATTTTCTGATACACTGTAGAACACAAAACATTTTAGTTGGGATTCAAATAAAGTTTTTGTTGGAAGCCTACTTAATATCTCAGTAAAAAAATAAGATCCAATCTAGTAGATAGTATGTTGAATAATCAGTCATAGTTAAAAGCTCTATCCTTTAAATAGGCTTATACTAAGATTACATTTCATTTGTAGTGATCAATCTTAACTCAGGATAATAAAAAGCATGTTGGATTATTTAGGGATGGATAAAGATTAAGTTTATATTGTTGTGGTGGGGGTAAACGATAGATCTTGATTGGACAACGTGCCTTCACTTCATTTTATTCTTAAATCTACCAACACTAAAATCTGTGCCTGAAAACAGTATAAAAATCACACCTAGTATTTCATGCTTTTATGAAAGACACTTCCCTATTAAATTGAGTAAGTTTTACTTTTAGGTTGTTTTTAACTTATATAATCGTTTTGTAGTCATCAATGACAATGGAGTACTTTTTTTCTTTCTTTTTATTGACATTGTGCCAACTAAGCCCTAATAATTTCAGTCACTTCTATTATATGCACACATTTAGACTCCATTTCAGGCATTTAACTTGGATGGATAAAGATATCCATCCAGCCACTTCTGACCTTTATATAACCAACTGACATATCTTAGTCATAAAAATACGACTGATATATTATTGGTTGTTTATATACCATCTCCACACAAGATATACTAATCAATCAATTTCTTATTATATTTTAAGAAATCATTTTAAACATACTAATATGATGATTTTAATATTTTAAGTATAAAACTTATTTTTTTATATTATACCAAGCCACTGGATGTATCCTTTTTCTTCTGTTATATCACATCCAAACTATGTCCCATTTTTTTCTATATGTGCAAAGATAATGTCTTGAATATTTCAGAAACTTTCAAAACAATCTTTCTATTCAAAATACCACACTTATAAAAGTCTGTATCCATTTAAACTTTTCTTTTACAAATTTGAAGCCAGTTTCTTGTTCATGTTCGTCATTTTTTTACTTGTTAATATAACAAGTCACAAGTTTCCAATTCACAGATGAGACATTTGCAATCATACTCTGAAGTAATTCTATTACATTGCTTTGATGATAAAAGTGGCAAATTTAAACACCAAGACCATTACTACATACGCTGTTGTAACAATAATATAAAAACTGGAAAAAAATAAAAGAATAGCAAAGAAATACATACGTTTATTGAGTTATAGTCTCTTGCTAGTTTGTAAGTTGTACGTAGTTATTTCACACTCACGGTACTTTATCAACGAAAATTTACAATATAGAAGTCTGGACAGAACAACGTCTGTTTAACAAAAGAATAGGCTTAGACAGAACATAAAAACTGAGAGCCGCGTATCTAGACGCACGTTCACGACGTGACGAGCCACTCAAACACGCAGGGATTGAGTTCTCCGCCTTTTCCGGTTATGTTCTGCCATTATCTTTTACGTATGCAAAAAAACTTTTGATTTCCACATGGTTAGCTAGGACCGGTCTGTTGAGCTGAACATACATTTGGTGGCAATTTCCCAACGTCAAATCAACTGTAACATCCGAGAAAATAAAACGTAAACTTTATAACAGCTTATATATATATATATATATATATTCCTATTTCATACGTACTTTTCATCGCATCAATGCTTATTTCTAACTATTGAAAACTGGAATTTATTTTACACGAATATTTCTTTTTCCGAAGCATGATGAAGAATGCCGGAACTCAAAGCATGAATCTGAAAATACATGGCAGCAGAAAAAGAAAAGAAAAAAGAATCACACCTACTTAGCAGTAAAAACAACAGAACAAGGTGTCATAAATTCAAATTTTGGCAGCGTAGGAGTCGTCTGCAGTTTAGACAGTATTACTTTTTAAACAGGGTGGTTGGCTTTTGGAATGATGGTGGGGGCAGAAAATTTAACCGATTTCAAGTAATGATTGGATGAACGCATGAGTAGTTAGGGGTGGTTGTAGTTGGGAGCTGGAAGGGACATCCTTGATGGGCTAATAAGCTCGTTTTTTGTCCCCTAAAATTTTATGAATTTACTCTTCGATCAGACGAGAGTAGCCCAAGAGTTTGTGACAGGTGCTGTTAACTAACTGCCTTCACTCTCAATCAGTTCAAAATTTGGAACGGCTATGTTCAGATAACCTAACTTTTTCCGAAGACACTATAATGGAGATCGCGCTAAATATTATATTAAAGGCACTTTCAAACAGTAACTTTGTCAAGATGGAATCAGTTTATATCAATCGAAGAATATTTTCAACTGCCAGACTGCTGCAGAGGGTTCGGATCTTTCACTTACTTTCATTTCCACCGAAATAAAACAAAAATCTGCCCGATCTCTCCAAATTTTGTTAACGTTTAAAAAAAAAAGGCATAAAATACTCATAGAGAAGTTATACATTTATACAATTCATAACAACGCCGTTATACGTATATAGTTTTAAAGTAAAAATTCATCTTAGCCTAAGAACTGCGTTTCAAAGCACATTGCACTATTGAATTCAATAAGCCTGATTAACAAGTATAACATAATTGTCTTCAGTAACGTCAACTTCAGTTTTACTTTTGATACCAATGTTAATATGCTTATATTAAGCAGATATTAACAATGCAAAGAGCCAGGCGGCAACCGGATATTAAAACTTTGGGTCATCCCTAATCCCCAAATTATATCTCTATATCCACGAACTTAACAACAAAAACCTAAAGCGATTTAAGCCATCATCATCAGCTCACACCATCCAGTGAGCTTATAAAACGAAATAAACTGTGCTCATCAAGTTTACCAAACTTACACTTGTTAGTTAAAATATTAATCTCCAGATTTAGATTCAAAAATAAATTAATTATTATACAAAGCCTATCCAAACAAGGCTTTCACTACTAATGAATATACCTTGGAAGACAGTTTTGAATTTTCGGACAAAGTACAAAAATTTAAGTTTGTTTGCTTGCTTGTCTGTCACATTGGCGACCATGATCCTTATCCATTTCAACGTCTTGTAGCCTATAGAAATCTATGTTAATATTTCTATTTTTCATCCCGTTACTGGTGTTATTCACGTATTTGAGTCTTTGTTTCACTTTGCTCTTCTTCTTCTTCCTGTTAGTGCAATATTTTCTTTACCCTTTCTTCTCATAAAGTGTCATAAAAATTGAACTTCCGAACTTTTGATCTTTGTAACACTTTCTAATTTTTTGTGTCTAAGATATTCTCAGCATCTTCTTAATGTATCACATTTCCACTGATTCTAATCTGCTATGCGTAACTTTACTAACAGCAAGGTTTGAGTTGTGTAAAGTTATCAAGTGGAGCTCAATTTCACGGCCCCTATGAGGCGGGAAGTCCGGGGGCGGTAGAGTATCTTATTTTGATTATTTGATGACGCCTCAATGTACGTTGACATAGAAAAGTAACTCACATGTAGAAGAATGACATATTGCAAAGTAGGCCTATAAAGAACTTATCAATCATACTTTGTAGGGTTATATCTCCAAATACAGTTAAGATGCATGTTAATGCCTGGCAGCCACTTACGTTTGTTTGTTTTAATTTAGAGATATTATGTCTTAACTGAACAAAGCCTTCTTATAAAAAGAGGGCTTGTTCATTCATAAGCCGAGAACAGAGATCAACCAAGTTCTGCTTACAAGTTGCTCGTGGTTTTAGAGACAATCATATTTCTGTAGTTGAACACTTTTATTGTATCTACCTATTCAACAAGCACTTTAAGATCCTTCTACGTGTAAACATTCGGTGTCAGGCTTCCCCTGCAGCCTGGTGTTAAAAACATTAGGATATAACTTGCAGCTCACACTGCTATATTATTTATAAACTATATATATTAGATGTACTTCCGCAGGGTCCATGAGACTGTTCTTTTTCAAGAGTGAATAAAACCAAAATTAAGAGTAAAAATATTTTTATTTCTTGCTTTTGAAGTTCATGTCATGCTGTGTTGTAGCCTACAAAATGCATAATTTTTCTCATGATTCATGGCATGCGCATGTCTTACTGACGTCACGACAGTACAAATTGCAACGTTAATCGTCCCATATGTGACGTCATTTCAGTGTCTACTGACTGACTGACTGACAGACAACACAATACTGTACATTGGTGCGAGTGCTCAAAACAGGTGACCCTTCAAGGCGGCCTTTGGTCCCCTTTCGGGGTAATAAACAACAAATGTTCTAACGCAGATCCCTGAAAAACCTTAAAAGTCACATTCTTTTAACAAAAAAACAAAAAAAACGTATTGACAGCAAAATATTAACCAGAAGTTAATTTCTCAGTATTATTTTTGATGCTAACTCCCTCTGTTTATAATATCAATTTAAGCATTACAAGTATTTGTGAACAAATATTCACTTTTCTTCGTAATAAAGCTTTCACATGAAACTCTTCCACTGGCAGTTTCCTTCCTTAGCCTACACTATTTCGTAGAAAAAAATTAACTTTTCATTATAAGAACCCGTTTCCTTCCTTAGCCCACACTATTTCGTAGGAAAAAATTAACTTTTCACTATAAGGCCCCGTTTCCTTCCTTAGCCTACACTATTTCGTAGAAAAAAATTAACTTTTCACTATAAGGCCCCGTTTCTTTCCTCTTCTATCAATCATTTATCTTTTCAAGGAGCTTATTTAAAATTGTAGCTGGAGAAGATGGTTTCTCGGTTTTCAAGCACAAAGCTACACAATCGGTTATCTGTGTTATGCCTACCACAAGTATTGACACCCAGTTTTTGCATGCGAGCCTTTACATTAACTTATGAGGCTCTGGGGAACAGACGAAGAGCGACTTTCAATGATCGTTCCTAAATTTCCACGGTGATGATGATATCCAATAGAAGTAAATATATCTTTCGAGTGTTAAGGAATATTTCGCATATTAAAATAATTATATATAATGTAATATTCTAAACGACATCGGGTTTTACTATACTGTCAAAACCCAAAAGAGAGAGGGGGGGGGGAAATATTATTAAAATAATTAATCCTATTTACACTTCGATGATGCTAGCCAAAAGTATCGTGTAGTTTTAACGTGATACATTTGAAGGCTCTCTGGATACCAAAATTTACCATTTTTCTTTCATTTAGGTCAGATTGTTCAAATTAAATTCGAGAGAAAGCTTTCGCTCAGTTTCGAAACCGGCGTTTTGGTCTTTTTAATAGACCAGAGAGGGTCAGGTACAAAAAGACCTATAACCAGTTTGGGTTTGAATTTCGCGCAAAACTACACGAGGACAATCTGCACTAGCCGTTCCTAATTTAGTAGTGAAAGACTAGAGGGAAGGCAGCTAGTCATCACCACCCACCGCCAACTCTTTTACCAACGAATAGTGGTTTTGACCGTCACATTATAACGCCCCCACGGCTGAAAGGGTGAACACGTTTGGAGGAACGGGAATTCGAACCCGCGACCCTCAGATTGCGATTCAAGCGCCCTAATCACCTGGCCATATCGGGCCTTTATAACCAGAGCCGAAATATTTTCGGTAATCTCATGGTTTCCTGGAGTCAAGACAATTACGCATACAACATTTTGAGACATAATAAAATTACTTTTTTTTTAGCAATCGCCCAAAAAATTGTTTTTATCTTTTTGAATAAAAAACAACTTATTGCGATGTTTCAAAATGTTAGTTCTGTACTCCTCCAATAAAGTCAACAAGGCTCAACATTTCAACTAAATAGTGACGACAGTTGAAAGTTGACACCGTTTAAAAAATAAATTAAAAAACCTAAGTGCACGATATCTACTAATAATCACAAACAATTTTTATCTCTAGTTTATATTGAATGTAAGTGATACGATTCGTGACGATGAAACAAATCGTAGATAATAACGTTTCTGCAGATCACTGAACGCTTGTACTTACTTGCTCAGGGTCCTTTAAAGTGTTCTGTTTCAAGAGTAAATGAAACCAAATGTATAAGTAAAATGATTGTTATTTCTTGCTTTTGAAGTTCATATGTCATGCTGTGTTGTAGCCTACAAAATGCACAATTTTCTCATGATTCATGTCATGCGTATGTTTTACTGACGTCACGACAGAACAAATTGCAACGTTAATCGTCTCTTATGTGACGTCATTTTAGTGTCTGGTGACTGACTGATAGACAACACAATACTGTACGGTGGTGCGAGTGCTTAAAAGTGACCCCTCCAGGCGGCTTTTGACCCCCCCCCTTTCGGGGAAATAACCACAAATAATTTCACATTCCAGAGATGCACACGTACGCTTTTTTTTTAACTGGTGGATATCATGAAGTCCCCCACACACACACTAAATTAAAATCTAAAACAAAAAAACGAAATAAAAAATAAAGAAAAGATAAAACTAAAACAGCCA